GAAAAATAACCCTCTGGAGGGTCAGGCTATGGGATTTTATAGCACGTATGGCCTCTATAAGATGGGGAAGACATGGCCATAGTTGAAGCTGGATCCAAAGTTACACATAAAGTTACATACCTTGAGTAGGTGACAAGGTTCTTCTCCTTTGCCATTGGGATGCTTTCAAGAGGCTACACAGCAAGGACAATGTCAGACCTCCTGTTATGCAGGAGACAGGGCTTGCTGTTTGTGCAAGGCTGAAAATATGCAAGCGTGGGACGTCAGGCATGGCCATTTTATATAACCCTGATGTATCACACTCTACATCACTCTACCAATTCATCCCAATTCCATCCAATTCCACTTTGCAACATCCAGCCTCGCAGTAGACGTCAACCGCACGAAGAATGGCTTCCACAGACAAGTCCTCTTTCTCTTGCTCGCCTCCTTCACCTTCTGCCTCATCAGGCCTCGTCGCAGGAACATCTTCTGCCTCATCGGGCCTAGAGGCTCCATCTGCATCATCAACACGTTGGTCTGGCTCTTCCTCGTGCTGCTGATTGGACATCCACTTCTCTGCAGTCTCCTGGCAGAAGCCTGCGCTATCCAAAAGAATCTGGCAGGCTGGGCACGGCTCTTTTGGCATGGTGTTGGATTCAATAGCCTTCAGGAGATCAGTCCACAAACCTGACTTGCAATGCCCTGCTTTCTTGCACCCTGTTTGCTGCCAGTGGCTTGATTGCCACTTGGCATAGCTCATGCCAATCTCAGCGATGTAAAGCCGTAGGCCACGGAGTCTCCTTTCCTTGTTGGTCTTCTTTTTCTTTTTGCATGTGCGAACATGCTTTTTCACCACAACCATGGACATGTCATTCTGCTCCTCTGCATCTGGCACTTCCGGGGCTTCCTCTTCCTCTTCCTGGTGTGGCTCTGAGTTCATCTGTGTTTTCTTCTCAGTTGGCTGCCTCAATCCAGGCAACTTTGACATCGTTGGCTTCCAATCAGGTGCCTTGCTGTGTCCCTTCACCACTTCCACCCGACTCTGTTGTTTTTGCTTCTTCAAAAGCACCTTCTGAGCTGGGGTGGCAGGCGATGTCATGGCCTTTGGCTGCACACGTTTCTTGGGCGTGGCAGGGTCTTCGTCATCTGCAATCAAGATTTTGAAGTGTTTTTGCCACACTGAACACTTCTTCAGAATTCTCCACGCGGATGCCAAATCAGCTCTCAAGACCTTCACTCCAAAGAGATCGGCTTCTACCTTAGGGTCAAGCTTTTCACTTCCATCATAGGCCTCCTCAAGAAAGCATCGCAAGCTCCACAACATGCAATTCCCATCGGCTGGAACTTCCACAGGGCACAGGGAAATATCAGCACATCTCTTTCTAAAGGCTAGCCATGCCTCAGCATTCTCCAAAGCATCTGTGGCAGATTCTACCTTAGCTAATGCATTGTCTTGATTGGCACCCATGCGCAGGGCCTCCGCAAACTCCGCCTGCACACTGGCACACTTTGCCTTAGCCTCGGCCACTTCCAATTCAGCATCGCACATGCCCAGAGAAATGAGAGCCTTCAAACGTTCTTCTCCCATGTTGGCTAGAGAGACTGCAGGCATCCAATGGTTGCTGACCTTGACACCGTCTGAGGGTTTGAAGTCTGCGCTCGTCAATATGAAGGTCCCAACCTTGTCTGGGTTTTGTGAAAGCTGGAAGCCACTATCAGGCACAAGGTCGTGGATGTAGTCTGCAAGCGCAGCAGGAGCCAACGGGCCCGTGAGCTTGTCAACAACAATGCTGACATCCTAAGTATGAGACAGATGGATTCCATCGCAAGCGGAAGGGAGGCTAAACTATCAACAGTTGAATTGTGTTGAACAAAAAATATAAAAACAATGCAGTTGGACATTAGCAATACCATGCACTTGCAATGGCAAGGCGCCATATTCAGGCCGGTGGCTAACACGCAAAGATCTAGCGCGCACAAGTAGACGCCCATCTCGGAAACCTTGTCAGCATAGGTGGACATCGCTTGCTTCAAGACAGAAGAGCCAACAGGACTTGCTGGCTCCATCTTGATCTCCGTCTTGGCCTTCTTAGCTTTTGGCGGCTTTGGTGGCGTTGCAAGCATGCGCTCACGTTTTGGTTCTGCCTTGATCGGTCCTGGAATGCTCTTGGGAAGATGCAAAAGGTAAAGCATACTGAAAAAAAACTACAAGCCTCATATGTTAAGACAACATATGAAAAGCCAACACTTCTGACACAGTCATACTGCCCCCTCCTGATGAACCCACATTGGTCACTGTTTCTTTAGCCACCTCCCGCTTGATGGGCTCACGCTTCGTGGTTGCGCTGGCTCCTGCATAGTACAGGTACAACCTTGTATTGAAGTACAGGCCATCTGTAGTAAAACAAACACGTTTCAAGTAAAGAGAACAGTGAAGAATATAGAACTCATGTTCTTCC